ACTCTAGGATTCATTCACTATCCCTGATAGAAGATTATCCAGTCTGTTTGAAGACTTTGTGAAAACCTCCTTGTAGTAACCTATTCCACTGATTTGAGGGTAGTTATTGTCAAAATGTTCCACTTAATCTGTATTTCCATCTTTGTTGGTTTCATCCCATTACTTCTTATTTTATTCTCTGCAACAAGCAAGAATATGTCCTAACCTTCTACGATCTGACTTCCCTCTTGATATCTGAAGACAACCATCATGTGCTCTCAAGCTTCTCTTCTGTAAGCATTTCCACGCCGTTTTAATCATTCTGTGTAGGACTCTGTGTTACCATCCTTTCATCATCTTAGTAACCTTTCTCTGGAATTGCTCTGGTATACTATCATCTTTTTAAAACTGGGGTTTGTAGAATTGAACTAAGTAGGCGTGCAGAACATTGTGCAAGGAGCAAGAGATGTGTGTTGCACTTTCCCATGTGATCAAAAATGATGGGTGAGTTCACCAGAGAGAAATGATATATAGCAGGCAAGCTGGTCAAGGTAAGGAGATGCACCATGTTCCTGATAAAGACCATATTAGTCATGGAGAAGCAGGTCTCATGCATTGTATCTGAGATGGAAAGGGACTGGATATTCCCATTTGATCCATTTTTCAGATCCATTTATAACTCTGATGTACCCAAGCAATCTTATATTCTGACTGGATCTATGAGCATGTGCTTAATTATGCACACGCTCATTGATCCAGTCAGGCTGTCCAGTGTTTAGAAAGATTATATCCTGATTTTATGAGAAATTTTAAAAAGAAAACCAAGCAGTTCACATTGACTCTTCAAAACTGGTGATGACCCAAGGCGTGGCACAAAGGCAATACAGTCAAATAATAAGTAGGAGTCCCTTTATTAGCTCCAACTTTGCCCCCAATGTCCTGGTTACCTTCTGGCTGGAGAAAAACTCTCCCAGGAACAGCCTTTGGCTGCAGAGATTCAAGTCCAAAAAAGTTGTCAACAAAAACTTTAACTATAAGTCCAATCAAGGAAAGATGGGGCAATTAATCCGGCAGGGCAAGAGAAGGGAGTCCAGACATGAAGGAATGGCAGTAAATCAACCTGGTTGGGAGGATTCCAGGAATGCAGATAACCAAAGTCAACACAAGATAAACTCATGTTTGTTCCCAGAAAATGCTGCTCTCAGCTTGCATCTCTCTTAAACTCTCTTCCCAGATATGCCTAATGAAGGGAATCAGGGCCCTTTCCTCCCCTGTAAGCCACTCAAGCCATGTTGCTCTCTTCTCTGTTTCTCCCTGAGTGCCTTAGGATGAAGAGGAAGTAGGCCTGGGTCTTCCTCTGAACTCCCTCTCCCTTGTTCTACCTCTTTCCTGCTCTGCCCAGCCGGACTTTGCCCTTCTCCAGTTTCCTCCACAGCCAATGAAGCCACACTCCCACTCCCTGTCAGCTGTTCGTCTTCCTCCTCCGAGTCAGACTCCGACAGGAGCATGACAAAACCAGTTAATAATAATTGTAACAAAAAATTGGTGGGAACATAGATTTGAAGTAGTTGAAAACGAACAGCTTAATATATTGCTTGAGCTCATAACATACCAGATTTAACTCTGGTTGAAAAGGAGGTGTGGATAACTGATGTCACAAAACCAGGAAATAGTAGAATAGAAGATGAAGCACCGGAGACAGTCACAAAATATTTGGGTTCTGAAAACAAAATTGAAAGACGATATAAAATGACCATGGTGGCCCCAGTAGTTATTGGCACACTGCATGCCATACCTAAAATATCTGGATGGCACTTAGAAAATATATGCATTGACAGAATTTCCATCTGCCAATTGCAAAAGGCTAGATTGCGTTGATCTGCACCTATACCAGGTGTGATGACCCGGGGCGTGGCACAAAGGCAACACAGTCAGATAAGCAATAAGAGTTCTTTTATTATCTCCAACTTTGCCCCCCAATATCCAGGTTACCTTCTGGCTGGAGAAAAACTCTCTCAGGAACAGCCTTTGACTGCAGAAAATTATGTCCAAAACATGAGCAACACAAACTGTAACTTAAAGTCCAAACAAGCCAAACTGAAGTAATTAATTTGGCAGGGCAGGAGAAGGAATTTCAGACTTGAAGGCATGACAAAACTCACACAGTTGGGAAGACACGAGGAACACAGATAAAACACAACAACACAGGATAAAGTCACATTTGCTCCCAGTAGCCCGCTGCACGCAGCTTGCCTTTCTTAACTGTCTTCCCAGCTGTGGCTAATGAAGGGAATCAGGGCCCTTTCCTACCCCATAAGCCACAGAACCCACGTTGCTCTCTTCTCCGTTCCTCCTTGTGTGCCCTAGGATGAAGAGGAGTTGGGCCTGGGTCTTCCTCTGAATTCCTTCTCCCTTGCTTGTTCTACCTCCCCCTGCTCTGCCCAGCCGAACTTTGCCCTTCCCCAGCCTCCTCCACAGCCAATGGAGCCACACTCCCACTCCCTGCCAGCTGTCCCGCTTCCTCCTCGGATTCAGACTCTGACAGGGGCATGACACCAGGGCTGTCAAACTCGCAGCCCATGGGCTGGATACATAATGCACTGGCCATGCCCACACCTGGTTTAGCAAAGGGGAAAAAAGTTGTGATACGTCACATGAAGATGCCGTGATGACCCAAGCTTGACACCCCAACCTATACTATGCTGCTATATTATGACATCATAGTTCTTAGAAAGAAAGAACCCAGTGCATACAAAAGCAAGACCAGCTAAAGAACTTTCAGTTGTGACTTCGTATTTTTGTGTATATAACAACAATAATGTCATAATTTATCATCCCCAAATTGTGAGAAAGTGAAATAAAAAAAAGACAAACATGGAATTGGTATATTTATGTGTTATTTTGTTGTTCTTTTTTACAGCACAAAAATAATATATTCACTACCTCCACTGTTTTTTTTTTCTTTTTAAAATCTCCAGTAATGCAAAACTTCTCTTCCTAAAACACTTGCTTCCCAATATTTCAAGTCATATATTGAGGGTAGCTTTTTTTTTTAAAAAAAATTATTTTTAAAAAATTGTTGAACAGATATTCTAAAAATGGTTGGCAGCAACCTTTTCAACATACGAAACGTCTGTATTACACCGATCAACACCATACTAGAAAGTGCATTTACTCATCACCATCAGAGAGCTGACCGGTGAGAAAAACTATGGCCCCTTTTCTCTCAGAAAAATATTGTGCAACATAGCAACACAAGTGAAAGGCCTTAGTCACCAAAGGACACACACACACACACACCTAAGTCACTGCTAGGCTGCCTGTTTGCTTCGATGCCTTTTAAGTGTCCAGACCCTCCTTGATTCCAGTTCCTGGTTAAAAACAAGGTCATTGCCAGTTATCATTTCAGCACCTTCCTAAGAAGTAGCATCCCATCGCCATGTCCTTTGATGCAAGATATCGTCCGGAATAAACTAGCTGTGAACTACATGTTTACTGGTCGCCCAATGACTGCTGCATCAAAATTCCTTTGCACGAGGGAATGGATGCCAGAGGCAGTTTTCACATCATTGAACCAAATACAACATACTTATCTAGGCCTGTGGGTGACATAGGAAATCATGGTTTCCTGCCAAGTAAGTAAGCCAGGATCAATCTGTAGGATCATCCTGTTTCTTTCTTACACATACTTCTTACTGGAGAGTGAAGGCCTCCATGTTCAGCTTTCAGTAGAACAAAGCATAGTTCCTCTTATATCAGTGGTGGCTAACTTTTGGCTCCTGTGTCAAAAATTGTGCCCGCGCTTGCACACTCGTGCTCAAGAACCCAGAAGGCAATGCACGCCCCCCCTACACATGCATGCGCAATCCCCTACCCACCCGCTCACCCCCCACCGCCCCCTTACCTGCCCTGTGCCTCACACTGATTTTTGGCCAGTTTGAGGCCTTTTTCGGCCTCCCAAAGGCTTGAGGAAGGCTTCTGCAGGCTTCTGCAAGCTTTGCTGACCGAAAACTAGCCCCGTTTTGTCACTTCCTGTTTTTCTGAAAATATCGGAAGTGATGAAATGGGGTTAGTTTTCAGCCTACAAAACTTGCAGAAGCCTGCAGAAGCCTTCCTCACGCCTTTGGGAGGGCAAAAAAGGCCTCAAACCAGCCGAAAATCAGCTGTGAGGCATGTGCATGTGCAGTGAGGTAAGTTTGCTGTAGCTCACATGCCAGCACAAATGGCTCTGAGTGCCACCTGGGGCATGCGTGCCATAGGTTCACCATCACGGCCCTATAAATTCAAATTCAGAAAATGATTTTTTTGAAACTATTTTAATTCAACCCAGAATCAAATCATCTTATTTGGTACCAAACTGTAATTAAAAAACAACAAAACTAGAACTCTTAGTTTTATATCCAGGGAAAATGTTTTGTTTAAACTGGATTGGGGATCCTTTTTTCTCTTCTTTTTGGCCCTGATAAGGCTGCAAACCTTGTAAGGCTACAAACTTGGTTATGTCCCAGTTTCTCTCTCTCTCTTTTTACCTAAAGCAGGCCAGAGTCAGTTCCTATTCTTAGCTGCCAGGAATTGAACACCGAATAATCAAGTGACACATCTGTATATAGGGATGATTATTTGGGTCTTATGAGCTACAGATCTGAGAACTTTTCGATATGAATACATCCTTTTATTTCTCCTTTACACTAAGGATTTTCTGCGCTTGGCATGTGGTATCTTTGCCAAAATTATCCAAGTATAAATTTGTTTTGGGGGGAGAGAAAAACATAGTTCTAGTTTTTTCTGAATGTGAACATTTTGGGGAATACTCTATGTGCCGTTAAAATCTTACTATGCTTGACCTGGAATTGAATTGAGAGTTAGTATATTGGTGTATAAATTTATTTTTGGGGGCGGGGGGGGGGGGATAGGAAAAAAACATAGTTCTATTTTTTTCTGAATGTGGACATTTTGGGAAATACTCTATGTGTCATACTTGTTAAAATCTTACTATGCTTGACCTGGAATTGAGCTGAGAGTCAGTATATTGGTGTGTCTCTACACAGAGCAGGATGGAACGGGGAAAGCTAGACTTTCTGCTGGATCACAAGACTAAAAAAATTTTTTTTGGTGGTATCTTAAATATAAAAAGTGATCTGATTTTGTTCTTCACCCAAGTAAAAGTGCTTCACAGAATTCTTCCGCTGTCCAAAATGCAAGATATAGCAAAGACTTAACACTATAAAAAATCCAACTTATGTGAAAAAGGTAACTTACTGCATACGCTAAAGGAAGATTGTTTCACTCTCAGAAGAGAAGCCAAAATGAAAGCTCCAACAGTAGTTAAGAAGGGAATAAGCAGCACAGCAGTGTTGTGTTAGATCTCTAGTCAGAAATCATTAAAAGGGATAATAGCTGCATGCACTTTTCTTCCTTGGGGAAAGAAATGCAGGCAGAAATCCCTTTCAGGATTTCCTCTTGAATTGATACATAGATTCCTACCAAGATCCATAAATTCAACAACCTTTTGCACTTGTATCCTTTATTTTGTTGGCAGAGACATCCAGGGATAAATAAACCAAGGTTTTTAGTTTTTTGATCTCTTATGGACACTTCTACCAGCTGGAATCAACATTGGTTCCTAGCATGCCGTACACGGCCTCCTAAGATTTAAATCTTCGGAGTAAAATACTGTTCGACACCTAAATTTCGAGCCACTCTTAGAGCCAAAACAAACTAGAAGCACTATCCTTTCTTCTTCACCCTTCATTCCTGCAAAGAGGATGGACCTTAAATGATCACGTCAGAAAAATGATGGATTCGGCTGGGAATGGATATAGGTATCACCAAAATTTAGCCGTCACATTAAAAGTACAGCATTTTATTTTTAATTTTTTCTTCCAATTGCCAGTTCCTCACTTCTGTGAGAGGAAAATGAAAAGGTTCACTAGGAACATATTTGGGGTAAAGAACTGTCCTGCACACGTAGCGACCCATAATATTTGAAAGAAAGATAGGTTTTTTTAATTGTATAGCCCTGCCTGCAGGGCTCTCCAACCTTGGCAACTTTCAGATTTGTGGACTTCAACTCCCAGAATTCCTCGCCAGCAAAGCAAAGCCGAGCCAAAGCCAAAGCCAAAGCCAAAGCCAAAGCCAAAGCCAAAGCCAAAGCCAAAGCCAAAGCCAAAGCCAAAACTGGCTGAGGAATTCTGGGAGTTGAAGTCCCCAAGTCTTAAAGTGGCCAAGGTTGGAGACCCCTGCACTACAGCTTGTCCTCAACCTATAACAAATGAGACTAGAAATCTGGTCGTTGAGTTGAGGCATTTATGTGACTGCAACAGTTTTTCACAGCAGTCATTAGGTGAATCACCACAGTCATTAAGTGAGTCTTGTTAAGGGAACCCATTTTTCTGAATGGTGTTTTTTTTTTTTTTGTCGCCAGAAACTAGCAAAAAAATTGTAAAATTGCAGTTACGTGACCACGGGACACTGCAACCAATCAATAAAGGTAGAGGTATCATGGGACCTTGGGTGTGGGGGGAGGAAATGACATTTTAGGACAACCAGAAGTGCTTTGTGAGTTATAAAGCACCCATTATTCAAGGTAACTCTGTAAACTGTTGTAAGCAGTGGTGGGATTCAATTTTTTTTACTACCGGTTGTGTGGGCATGGCTTGGTGGGCATGGCAGGGGAAGGATACTGTAAAATCTCCAGTCAGAGGCGGGATTTGCCAGTTCTCCAAACTGCTCAAAATTTCTGCTACCGGTTCTCCAGAACTGGTCAGAACCTGCTGAATACACACCTCTGGTTGTAAGATGACTGGTAGAGAAGTGTAGCCAATTGTAGCCCATTGATTCTACGACATAAAACTTGATGGGGACCACTGAAAACCGACCTTTTACAGGTAGTCATCGATCGATAGTCAGCATCCACAACTAAGACCCAAATTTTTGTTGTTAAGTGAGGCATTTGCCAAGTGAGAATTTTGCCCCATTTCACCCCCTTTCTCGCCTTGGTCGTTACGTGAATCACTGTAGTTTGATACATTAGTAACCTGGCTTCCCCATTGACTTTGTTTATGAGGAGATTGCAAAAAGGGATCACGTGACCTTGTGACACAGCGACGGTCATAAATGTGAGTCAGTTCCTAAGCCTCTGAATTTTGATCACGTTGTCAGGTTTGGAAGCCATATTTTACTTAGAAGCTTCCACATCTAAAGGGCCTGGGAATTTGGGAGGGGGGGATTTCATAGAGAGGTAGAAGTTTAGACACAACAACATTCTTCTCAGAGAGTCAAGGACAAGTTACCCTGCACCTAGAAAGAAGTGGCTGAAAGAATGTCTCCAGTTGGGACGAAGGGTGATTGGAACAGGTGGTGGACTGGTGGGCGCAGGGGATGGATTTGTGAATTTCAATCGGGAAGGGAAAGCCTGGAACTCTCAGATTCGGGTTTTCCCAGATGTGCCAATATGGCAACTCTAATAAAATGGAACTTTGAGGAAATGCTTCTCTCGGACTTTATTGGTTTGAAGTTGGTTAGTTGGATCGCTGACACATGTGACCATGGGGAGGCTGGAACTATTGTTAACTGTGAAAAATTGACGTAAGTCACTTTTGTTCAGTAACTTTGAACAGTCACTAAGAGAACTGTTGTAAGTCGAAGACTGCCTGTATTTCTTAAGCTAGAAAGTTGAGGCAGGATTGTAAGGACAGACACCAAAAATAGATGTTAGGCTTACCTCTTAGCATTGAAAAACCCTCAACTCTCAGTGACTCTGTGTCAGCCTTCAAGATTTTCTCCCTTTGCTTTGCATCTTTCGGCTGTCATAAGTAACGGGGGGAGGAGGGGGGAGTAGT